CCTCATAACTTTTTTTTTTAATAATTTGTTTAGGTCTCTTTAAACGATTCTATAAGAGAACATCTGCTAAATAATAGATTTTAAAAAAATTAAAATAACCCCAAGACTCCTCAAACTCAGCATTCTAAAAGGAAAATACTAATTGTTGAAGAAAGGCAAAGTGACTTTTTAACAAGTATGGAGATTAGCACAAATAAATTAAGAATATAAATCAGAAAATAGTATAAAGGAATTTGTTTTAACATGACATACTCCAGAGTCAGTGTCCAGTGAAGGGGACTAGATGAATAATTTCTTAATCCAGCCACAGTTAAGTCACAAGTTAGGAGCTTGATAGAGATTTATTGAATTCATAAAACAAATTACCTCAGTTACTTGAAAGCTGTGATTTAAAATCAACCAGTTTTCAAGAGTTAGTCTTAATTTGTTTTTTTACTGATGAGGCAAAAACGAAAATATGATATTTTCATATTTTGTTATAGAGAAATCTGGGTTCTCATCTAGATATTGACTTTGAACATTGATTAGATTCAAAGATTTTTATTTAAAATAATATTTATCTATCTATCTATCTATTTATTTATTTATTTTAAAACATTTTCTGACTCCATCCATATTAGGGCTTTTTCCTTTGTGGAGGTAGGAAAGCCCTGTATAAGAAAAAATATCAACCAAGTTTCTTATTTTTCTAAATCTCAGGTGTTGGCATGTCAAAAGCATATAATAAATGTGTGACAAATTTACAAATGATCTGAGGAATATGAAATTAGTTAAACATCCTGAGAGTAATAAGCTGTATTTCCTCTCTTTCTGGTTCCCACCAACTATATTCAATTTTTAATAATTAAATGCAGTGTTGTTGTTATTGTTTAAATTCAGCATAGCAAAATGAGATTAACATTTAAATCCTTAAAGTTTTCAAATGAAAATTTTCAGCCACCTTTAAATTTAGGGTCACAATGTCATATCACATAGGCAATCAACTGCTTCCCTTCTAGCACCACACTGTGATCTGAAAAACAATCCAGTGTTTTCCGATGGTTCAGATTCAGGCTGTGTGCAGTGAGATTATTTTGATCTAGTTGTGTCAGGTTGACTTTTTCCATTGTGTTACCCAGCAGTGTGGGCTAGATTTGTTGAAACATGTCAGTTTTCCAACTCTGTGACTTTCCTTGTTATTGTGAATCTCTCTGACAATATACAGGTAATTTATACTTAAACTTCCTATGATCTCTGTCTTCATCACAATGATGTTATAGAGTCTCATTTGCCAAAAATGGGAAGAGATGGACTCCTCCCCGCAAAATAGCAATAACCAAACAAATACATGCATTTTTAACTGACTCTACTTGATATAGAGGAGAATTAATGATCATGATTCCAGAAAAAGAATCTAAGGTCAAAAGAATAATGATGCTTAGAATGAAAAAGAATAAAATGAATAAGGAATTGTTGAGAAAAAACTTCCTCATAATAGTTGTCTGTTCATTTCCTTAAACTTAAATTGACTGGTTTCTATGTGTCAGTTACTGAGAATACAAAAATGAGCAAGATGCAGTCCCTGCCATCAGAGGTTCCCAGAATAGTGGGTGAGCTATATAAGTAAAGAAAATTCAGGGAAGGTGACTTACGAGGTCAACCTTGAAGAAGTAGGATTTATCCACAAAGGAGATGAACAATGGGTATTCGGGGTGGGGGTGGGGCAGGTAGGTAGACTAGCACAGAGATATAAGAGTGTATGGAATATTCTGGAGGCAGAAATTATGCGCAATTAAAAGTATTGGTGATAACCAGTGAAGTAGTGGAGATGGTGTTAGACAAATAGGTTGAAGCTTTGTGATAGGGCCTTTAAGACATACTAAGGAATTTATTTTGAAGAGAATGGTGAGCTACTAGGGATTTTTAAGTAAAGGGTCAATCCATTTGTGTCTATGAGTTTGAGAAGATAGGTGTGTTGGTCCCAGGGTGGGAGATGTGTTGGGGAGTAGACCCTAGAGGCAGGAGAACAACTGGGAGACCATAGTAATACCCAAGTGAGATGATGAAGAACTGAAATAGAGCAGTTGCAAGGAGAATGGAAAGGAAGGAATGTATTTAAGATAATTTTTAAAATGTGGAGATACTTGGATAAAGGCCAAGAGAAAGTGAGAGGAGTCAAGGTCAACAGCTGTCAGTGATGGTGGTGGGGTGGATTAGAGAGACTGAAGAGATGACTAAGGAAAGGGGCAGCTAGGGACAAATAAAAGGACTGTTAAGTATTGTTGACAGCTCAGATAAGGTTGGGAAACATGAATCCTCCATGCATTTGCAAATTTCTCCAAAAGGCCACAACTCAAACTAAAAATCAGAAAAACTACCCCAAATCATCAATGATGTTAGCAGACTGCCTAACACCTTCTCTAGCACGAGTATATTAAAAAAATGACTATACAAGTAGTAGGGCGAATTTACTTTTCTGGTAACAGTAATGAAATAATTTGGACTGACACTCTCACTAACTAAAGATTTTTAAAATATTGAAACAGCAAAGAGCTAATAAGAGGGTGAGGTTTTGACACACAAAAATTTGGAAGACCAGAACTCAAGAGAGGCAGCTTATCTTTGAAAGCTTGGGCCTTTGGGCATATGAGTATAGGGAACAAAATTCTGTGAAACCAGCTGCACTTTGGGTAGCCTTATGGGTTTTGTGGGAATGTCAAAGCCCACGGTGCTCAGGTGAGGGCATGAATAAACTAACACAAGTTTAACTTGGGAATCTCAAAAGGCCATATCTTCCTTCAGGGTAGGAGTGAACCCCCCCAAAAACAATTCCTCACACAGATTTGCAGCCTTGTTTCTTATACAGGGGTCATTTAGGAAACTTGGGTGTTGCACTTTGACAAAGAAAATTCTGGTCTGATATTGCCCACAGGTGCCTGCCATAAGCAAACCAAAGTCCCCTCTGGAGGAAAACATCATCACCACTAGGTCTCAATTTATTCTTACAAGTGATTTTTAAAATACATTTCCAACAGATAGTCAAAGATATCTAAGCAACCAAGAAAAGAAGACACCATGAGTAAAACTGGCAGTCAAATCTAGTAACGCTTGAGATATTAGAATTAGCAGACATATATTATAAAACTACATGTACTACATTCAAAAAAATAAAGTCCAAGCTTGACAAATTTCAGCAGGGGACTAGAAACTATGAGTGACATGATAGCAGTAGAGAAATATTCGTCCTTCTTGTCAACACTATTTGACCTCATGGTTTAAAATTCTTACATTTTTTAGAATTTAAAATTTTGTGCTCTTTTTTGGTTTTCTTTTGACACACTGAAAACAAAAACAAAACCCCATACTGAAAAGCCTGATATAATTTTATTTATATGTATAATTCAATCAGAAATATATCAGTTGAGTAAAAGTCACCTGGAAGTGTGTTTGTGTGTGTTCACATGTATATGGTGAGCGCACATATGCTTGCGCTCACAAATTTCTTGGAAACACCTACGATTTGTGCCAGGCTCACTCCTATCAACAGATCAGGACTCAGCTGGGTGAAGCAAGGGGAACAGGAGTCAATGTCACTGGGGAAAATTTACAAAGGTACCATCCGCTTGTAGAGAAATGAAGTGAAAATTCACAGCAACTTTCTGGAAGATAGGTTTTGACTGCAAGAAAAAAAGGGTACTGAGCAGTGATATTCATCAGGGGTCCGGACGGATAAGGAAGACTGCAAGGGGAGAGGTAAAGGGGGCAGAGAAAGGAGGGTGGGGACGTCAAAACTGAGCCCTGCCAACTTCACATTTGGTTTCGGTCTTGCTAGATCATTTTGTAGTTGTAAAATCAAGTGACTCTCTCCATACAATGCTCATTTTTCATTTTAGAAGCATAACACAGCGTATTATTTATTCTTATCAAAACTGAAAGATCCGTGTTAAGTCATTCATTGTTTGTACTTCATGTAGCCGACTTAGTTCATTAGAATCTGGTCTATTTGACAGAGCAAAACCCAGCCAGTTCCATTTAACAACTGTTCAGCCCCGCACTGTAATAAGAACGTCAGCAGATTTATTTTCCCCATATAAAGTAGAATTTCCAATTCACACCATGTCCTCTGTGACTATTATGGACAGTATTTACTCAGAAGGAATGCTGTGCAAGTTTGGGAAAGCTGTCTCTAAGAGCAGAGCTGATAGGTCATTCGACAAAATAAGAAACAAAACCTATACATGGTCAAAACATGAAGAGAACTGAAGTTTGTCATTCTTTCTTTTAAAGCAAAAAGTTTGAAATCCTTAAAACACAGCATGGTAATAGCAAATAAGACAACTCTCCCTCCTCCACTCTCAAGCTTCACATAATCAGAACGCCTCCATTCACTTAGCAAATATCAGCTTTTTGGAGGAAGACAACCTGCTTGGAATTAATGAGGCAACATCAAAAAATAACTTCTATTAATAAATTGTTCTCTTCAATGGAAAACTGCCTATTTTTTTCTCATTAAAAAAACAGATTATCTTATAAAGGCTCCTTATACACTTCATCCCACCTTTAGACCATCTCTTTTTCCCTTCTTTTATTTATTTTCCTTTTTCATTTTTTAAATTAGGAAGGGTCACTGTGCCACGCAAGGAAATCCCTCCATCTCACAATAAGACAGTTGCAACCAATGGCATCGAAAACCCAGTGACATTCAGTGGGTGTAGTGACATAGAACCACTGACATTGTAATTCAATAACGGCAGCGTGTTTAAGGAATTAAGGGAGGAAAATGTAAGGCTAATAAAGCAAAACTGAAGTGATAGACATGCAAAGTAAATTTCAAAACTAAGCTGAAACACTCTCTTTCTGCCGCATAACTTGTAAAATGCCAAATATCTCAAGAAAGGTAAGAAAGTTACAGTACTGGAAAATCTTCATGATCATGTTTTCATTTACACGGATACAAAGAAAAATTCAACATTAACCTTCCCAGAGAAGCGATGCGCCTTAAAGCCAATCTTTTCACTTACCCTAGAGCTCCTAAATCCTTTTCGTTCCAGGACATCCAGACCATACATGAATTCTTAGCACAGTCACTTGAAAACCAACTTTGGCCAAATTGTTAATTACTACAGAGATCACAACAGAACTCTCTCAAATTCTAGGGAGCGATAGGAGTTTAAAATCCAGCTTCTAGATCCTGGTGTATACTGTGTCTATCTTTAACTTGAAAATGATTTGGTTTCACATTCCATTGAAGTCCCACTGGCAGATGCCTTTGGTAAGCTCACCAATGGCAGGCTTTCAAACGCCCTCCCTCCACCCGCCTCCTTCCTCTGACTGAGCTTCCGCTGCTGCTCCATCTAATGCCCATTTACTCCGCTGTCTTTTTACCTGTCTCTGTGTGGGTAAAAGGAGATGCTTTCATTGATGGCTATTACGGAAACACTTGGAAACTTCAGCTCAGCCTGAGGACTCACTGTGCTTTCCCCCCTGCCGTCCGCTCCCCGCTTCTTACTGCCAGAAACCAACTGACTTCCAAACTTGGCTGTCTGAAAAAGAATGTTCTCTGATTGGCATTCCTGGAAGCAGAAGGCAAGGCAGCTCAAGTTTTGTTCTGTTGCTCTGCAGGAAAAACTTCCCCAGGTACACATAATATGAACAAGTAAGTTTCCTGGATTTTTTTCTTAACTTCAAGGAGAATGGAGCGATTATTTGGGGGCATTACAGATATCTTTGATGTCACACAGCATTTAAGTTTTAATATTCACATATAATTTTACCCAAAATGGCTACACATGCAGTAAAAAAGTGAAATGGCAAATCTTGTGTTAAAAGTTGAATTTCCTTATTAGTCAATGAGCTGGGACCCCACTGGGGGAAGAAACAGTCATGCTGCCTGCTTGACAGTATTCTGGAGCGCAGCTGTTCAATTCCGCGGCTTTTCTGTGAGAGAAAACCTTGTTCATAAGAATTGTGGAAAAACTGATTTCAATTATCCTATATTTTATATTGCAGACAGCAGGAGAAGAGGGTGCAAAAAACACTTCTATCTCCCTGTCAAGTCTTCTTTTCCAGGACTGTCTTGCAAACTGGTGAGGATTACACACACACACACCCAGACACATACACACACACACACACAAACACACACATACACACACACCCAGACACACACACAGACACACCCACAAACACACACATACATAGACACACACACATACACACAAACACACATACACACATGTGTGAACAAACAAAAACTGAGTGAATGGAAATGAGAAAAAGATACATTTCCTCAAACAGGATCAGACAAGGATTAATAACATACAGTCCCTTCAAATCACTACTAATAAACTTGTGTTTAATATTTACGTAGTGGCCACTGGGGCCAAAAGTTTTGCTGTTGCAGCAAATAACTTACCTCTCCATGTTTAAAAGAGTGAATTTATTGTATGCCATTTTATGGACCAGACAACTTCTTGAAAGGCCCGAGAAAGTGTTTATCATTTCAGCAATCAGACAAACCACAACCCCAGGCATTTTGGCTTTCCAAATTTCATCTGGCTGTGGCTGCCAACTCTGGGCAACTGTCAGCTGGCTGGGCTGAGGGTAGTGGTGTGGCCGCAGCTGCTCCCTGCAACTTGTACACACATCTCAGAAATATTCAACAGCAAAAGGCTGACTCCAAAAAGAAGGCTTTCATTTTGTTTGTTTGTGGTTGGTTTTACATTTTCTCTTCCAGGTGGTCTTGTACCACATCTGAACAAGACCGTTAGGAAACCACGAGGGAACACTTGATTAACTGGCAGTATGTTACTAATTTACTTTGGTGATATTCTGATGCCTAATATCGATTGGCATCCTACCAGCTTGCTCACTCCTTAACCCGTTACTAGATGTCCTTTAAAAAAAATTCAAAGAAGTTGGTAGAGGAGGAAGAAACTTTCCTTATTCTTGTTCCCAAAGTTGATGGTCTTAGGGACATTCAAGCTATGTGCAGTGCTGATAGATAGGCGTATCCAGATTCCTTCATAAATAAATAGAAAAGAATAATCACTCACCAGGGAGCACATGTCCCTGTCCCTGTGTGTCTTCTTCCCTCTATCAAAACAATCCTCCCCAAGGCTAATGGATGGTGTCAAAACACACGTGAACTAGAGCAAGAGGATGGGGTTGGTGGTAGGCCATCTGGTTCACATTGAGCCATGCGATTTGCTCCTGTCGTATCTCTGAGTGAACACTAGCATGTGACTGATGCTCAAGAAATATTTTTTGAAACTGAAGAACTGTTTATGTAAAAGTATATATTTTAACTTCTGGAAAATTGTTATATATTGGCTCGCTGTATATCTATCTTAATGGTTTAGGGAAAAATTATCTCTTTTCAAGCCATTAACCAAAAGATTATATGGAAGTTATATTAGGTACTGAGTCCCTTTACTGAAGAAAAAAAAAATCATAAATTTTGTGTCTGCGTGAGCGATTAGTTCTAAATACCAACATGGAAAATACTGCTAAGATCATTCCTGTTGAGCTTGCTGGCTTCTAAGAAAAATAGAGGAAAAAAGGAAATGTTAGGTCCTTCTAATATTTCATATTAGCTAGTGAATTGTAATCATTTTCTTTTTGAATTGTTACTAGCCATTCCTTATAGTGTAACATTTATCAATCAGATATCTCCTTGGGTTACCAACTTTATCTCCCCTTATGTTTTCATCTGTGGCAATCATGGGAATTCTAGAACAGTCTGCATTAGTCCAACCTCAAGGTTGAGTGAGCACAATGGGAATTTTTTTTCTTCTTTTCTTTCCCCCTAACCTTCACAAGGTAATTGATAAGATTTATAATTGTTAGACTTCGGTCTTTATCTTGAGTAAATGTTATTTTTCTCTTTCATAAGCACTAACATGAGAGTTAGGATTTGATCAGAAAAATAGCTTCCAGGGCTTGCTTCCAAAGAAAACTGGGCATGTAACAGGCAAATCAAATACCCTTGATTTATCATGAACAAGCAGTTAATCTGTGCTCCATTCTCCAGAAATGGTCTGTATTAGCACAGTTCTGTGGATGGCAAATGCTGGTAGCAGGCTCCATACAGGGGTGAGTAAGGTGTTCAAACTCAGATTTATGGTTGATCTGTAAGACATCCATGTGTATGAAAAATCTGGTCATTGAAAATCAAGTGGTCCCTGTTATTTTTTCCTTACTGACATCCTTAAGAGACTAGCATAGGTAATATTCTCAGGAGGATGGTTTTGCAGATGATTTTTTGGTCTTTTGCATATAATATATTTAAAAATAGATATATACTACTTGCTAAATGTTGAATATTTGTGTCCCCCCCCCCAAAATCCATATATTGAAACATAATCTGCAATGTGATGGCATTAGTAAGTGGGGTCTTTGGAAGTTGATTAGGTCCTGAGGGTGGTACCCTCATTAATGGGATTAGTGCCCTTCAAGCAAGACCTCCAGAGAGCTCCTTTGTCCCTTATACCACGTGAGAACACAGCAAAAAGTGGCCCTCTGTGAACTGGGAATTAGGCCCTCACCTACTGAATTTGTTAGTGTCTTGATATTGGACTTCCAGCTTTCAGACTGTGAGAAATAAGTTCCTGTTGTTTATAAGTCACCCAGTCAATGGTATATTGTTATAGCAGCCTGAATGGACTAAGACACCATACAAAAATACATTTTTTGGGTGGGGGGAGTGGTGAATAGTTCCCCCCCGCCAAGGAACAATTAAGAAATCCAAACTGCAGTTCTTTGAAAGCAATTAAAATAGACACTGCTCAGGAAAAAACAGAAAACTATACGTTAAAAAACATCAAAAAATGGAGGCTCTAACAACAGATATGGAAGGGATTCAAAACAGTAGTATGTTATGTATAATGTTATTAAATGCCATTCAATTTAAAAATTGGATGAAATGGGCACTCATTTTGAATACATATGGTATGAAAATAGCCCTAATTATGGAAAGGGCCATATGTATAAATATACTAATGATAGCATCCTATTTGGTAGAGCAACTGGGAACAATGATACTTTTGATGACAACAGAAGGACATGGGCTAACGCTTAGGTTAAAAATCATGGCATATAAATGTACATGCACCATGATTTTCTACTATGTTAGAGCTTCTGTAGGCATTAGAAGGAAAGGTAAAGACTAGCAGGAATCCTATAGAAATGATTTCTGGGTACACACACACACACACACACACACACACACACACACACACACACCCAAAATATTCAAACTAGAATAATTGCAGCTTTTCCTCATTCTCATTCTCCTTCTGGCCTTTGAAGAGGCATCTCTATTTCTCTTCTCTGGGTCTGTAGAATGGCAGGTGGATTGTTTGGAGGGGGAATGGAAGGGGAATGAGGAGGCTCTTCAATGTGGAAAGAGACACAGATGAAGCTGAAGGGGGCTTACGTTAATTTTAAGAGGGTATGGGGGGAAAATATCCAAGGAAAAGAGTGATCTTAAGGGAACCAGTGAGAGCAAAGGAAGGGAACAGGGAATAGAACCTGGTGCACTAGAAGCAGGTGCCAGACTGTAAGCCGGACTAGGGAGCAGCTACTTTGATGAGGTAGGCGGAGGAGAGCAAAGTTTAGAGGGTAGGTTTAGGATGTCTGGCCTTAGGACATCTGGCTTTGTATTTTGTGATTTCTTCTCATGAAACACCTAAGTTAGGTCTTTACTTTTCAAGATCTGGTAGTGTGAAATTTGTGTGTCTTTTGGACACGTCATGACATGGACATGGATCTTAAATCTACAGATATATTTGGTTACATAAACTTTTTTTTTTTTTTTTTTTTAGGACACAAAGTTTGCTTTAAATATTTTCTGGGGGGAAAGGACACCACACTTCTAAGTCAATGCTAATTGTTTTGTTGTATTATTGTGGTTGCTAAAATTGTTTTCTTTGGAATGGGTAAGAAATCATCCCATCCTTTTCTAAATAAACTTTTTTGATCAGTTTCCTCTACTTGTATTTCGTTTCCTGTATTTCTCTCTGTTCCCAGGATGGGTATCTATTACAGTCTCCTGAGACGAGCTCTATATGTAAAGTGACCAACTATCCCAATTTTACTGAAACAGGGATTTCCTAGTATGCAGGATTTTCAGTGCTAAAACCAGGAAAATCCCCAGCAAACCAGGATGAGTTCATCATTCTATTTTTGTAATCTGGAATTGTTTATGTT